TTTTTATTCTTCAAAGCATGAAACAGATTGAGTTCTGTGACACAGCTCGCTCCTTTTATTTTCCCCAGATAAGTACATATTTTCCAGAACCCTGGCAGGTTTGTACTATAGGGACCTGGATGGTTGTACAAGTCTTCCCCCCACATGTAGACCCTTCATCATAAAGGCTACCATGCTGTGAATAAATCATCGGGATTTACAGTAAGATATATTTATTGTTTTGCCTGATTCTTATTGAGGTGGAAAGGATGTTTCTGGATTTTCTCACTATAGATTTCAGCACTAGATTTTAAATGATCAGGCTCTGCTCTGTGCAAAAATATACCCTTACTGGAGAAAGCCAGAATGGCAGGAAGAAGGTGAGGTTGGAGTCCTTCTCAGTGAGAGTTACTTTTCTATGGCAGCCAGAGGAAGGCAAAGGGTGGCCCTGAGAACAGTAATGGTTCCTCAAGGCTCTTTTTTTCTGGTCTTCAAAATCCTTAGCTTCCCGGGACCTTTTCTGTGAATAAATACATTGGAATACTTGGAAATATTTTCATATTTATTATTAAAATAATTACAATATTTTTGTCATTCTTATTATGTGTCTTCAAGTCAACTCTAAGGTATGGAGAGCCATAAAAGGTAAAGATAAAGGTTGTCCCCTGACATTAAGTCCAGTCATGCCTGACTCTGGGGTGTGGTGCTCATCTCCATTTCTAAGCCAAAGAGCCAGCACCTCCAAGGTCATGTGGCCAGCATGACCGCATGGAGCGCGGTTACCTTCCCGCCAGAGCAGTACCTATTGATCTACTCACATTTGCATGTTTTCGAACTGCTAGGTTGGCAGAAGCTAGGGCTGACAGCGGAAGCTCATGCCGCTCCCTGGAATCGAACCTGCGACCTTTTGGTCAACAAGCTCAGCAGCTCAGTGCTTTAACCCACTGCGCCACTAATTGTCCCGGTGGCGCAATGGGTTAAACCAGTGGTTCTCAACCTTCCTAATGCCGCTTAGTACAGGTCCTCATGTTGTGGTGACCCCCAACCATAACGTTATTTTCATTGCTACTTCATAACTGTAATTTTGCTACTGTTATGAATTGTAATGTAAATATCTGATATGCAGGATGTATTTTCATTCACTGGACCAAATTTGGCACAAATACCCAATACGCCCAAAAATTGAATACTGGTGGGGTTGGGGGTGATTGATTTTGTCATTTGGTAATGCTGGAGTTGCTGGGATTTATAGTTCACCTTAAATCAAAGAGCCTTCTGAACTCCATCAATGATGGAATTGAATCAAACATGGCACACAGAATTCCCATGACCAAGAGAAAATACTGGGAAGGTCTGGTGGACATTGACCTTGAATTTTTGGAGTTGTAGTTCACCTACATCCAGAGAACACTGTGGACTCAAGCAATGATGGATCTGGATCAAACTTGGCACAAATACTCAATATGCCCAAATGTGAACACTGGTAGAGTTTGGAGAAAATAGACCTTGCCATTTGGGAGTTGTAGTTGTTGGGATTTATAGTTCACCCACAATGAAATAGCATTCTGAACCCCACCAATGATAGAATTGGACCAAACTTTCCACACAGAACCCCCATGACCAACAGAAAATACTATGTTTTCTGATGGTCTTTGGCGACCCCTCTGACACCCCCTTGCGACCCCCACAGGGGTCCCGACCCCCAGGTTGAGAAACACTGGGTTAAACTCTTGTACCGGGAGGATTGAAGACTAATAGGTCACAGGTTTGAATTCGGGGAGAGCGTGGATGAGCCCCCTCTGTCAGCACCAGCTCCCCATGCAGGGACATGACAGAAGCCTCCCACAAGGATGGTAAAGCATCAAAAACATCAAGGTGTCCCCTGGGCAACTTCCTTGCAGACGACAAATTTTCTCACACCAGAAGCAACTTGCGGTTTCTCAAATCACTCCTGACATAAAAAAAAATAGTGGGGGCAGCAGTGAAAAGAATCAGAAGACATCTACTTGTAGAATTAATGCAGTTATAGCTGGGCGAGGCATCAATACCTTTTTGACAGAAAAAGCTCCAGCTTTCATGATTCCATAGCATTGAGCCATGACTGATATATCACTAAGTACTGCAATTTTCACAGGACTGATATCTGTAGATTCATTTACTGATGTCCAATAAAATATGCTCTGTCGAGGCATTTTCTAGGTCCGTCAGTGTGGCTCTTTGGTATTCTTGAGCCTTCATTTCAATAGGGTTTATTTTTATCTGTGTTATCACATAGTCATGCAAAGTTCAGGAAGAAATCCCCTGTGTATGTGGGGGTAATACTGCACTAAAGTTATGATTATCCATACCATTGTATTTCTATGTAAGCACCGGGACTGTGGCGCAGCTGGCTGAGTGTCAGCTGCATTAAGATCACTTCTGACCAAGAAATAGTTTTCTAAGATCTACAGAGACACTCGCTGGAACACCTCAGCAAGCGAGAGTCCAAAAGTGGCAGGCTCAAACCCAGAACCTCAACCAATGGCTGATACCAAATGAGAGACTCCCCCCTGGGCACACAGAGGACTGGGCGACTTGGAAGGCGCTGAACAGACTGCGCTCTGGCACCACGAGATGCAGAGCCAACCTTCAGAAATGGGGCTACAAAGTGGAATCCTCGACATGCGAGTGTGGAGAAGAGCAAACAACTGACCACCTGCTGCAATGCAACCTGAGCCCTGCCACATGCACAATGGAGGACCTTCTTGCAGCAACACCAGAAGCACTCCAAGTGGCCAGATACTGGTCAAAGGACATTTAATCAACTACCAAACTCACAAATTTTGTTTTGTCTGTTTGTTTGCTTTGTTCTGTTAGAAATGTAATATAATCGACTGGTTGCACTGTCATGATAAATAAATACTTCTGACCAAAAGGTCATGAGTTCAAAGCCAGCCCGGGTCGGAGTGAGCTTCCGACCAATTGTGTAGCTTGTTGTCGACCTTTGCAACCTGAAAGACAGTTGCATCTGTCAAGTAGGAAAATTAGGTACCACCTATGTGTGGGGAGGCTAATTTAACTAATTTACGAGGCCATAAAAAGACTCCAGCAAAAGCATGCGGGGAATGCGGAAGTACTTCATCAGTGTCGCAGATGGACGATGAAAGCGACAGCTCCCCTGGCGGCCAGAAAAGTTAAATAGCCTCTGATTGTCTGTCTATATCTGTTGTGTGTCTTTGGCATTGAATGTTTGCCATATATGTGTACATTGTAATCCGCCCTGAGTCCCCTGAGGGGTGAGAAGGGCGGACTATAAATACTGCAAATAATAAATGTATGGTTGTGAAAGCTGGACAGTGAAAAAAGTTGATAGAAATAAAATTAATCAATTTTAGATGTAGAGATAGAGAAGAGTTCTGAGGATACCAGGGACTACTGAAAAAAAGCAAATGAATGGGTCCTAGAGCAAATCAGGCCTGAATGCTCCCTAGAAGCTAAGATGACCAATCTGAGGCTGTCCTATTTTGCTCATATTGTGAGACATAATGCTTGTTAAGGTAGAAGGCTGTAGGAAAAGAGGAAGGCCTAATTCCATGTGGATAGATTCAATTTGAGATCTCAAAGCCTTGGCTTTGAGACTGGATCTACACTGCCATATAATGTAGTTCAAACAGCATTATATGTCAGTGTAGATCTAGTCTGAAAGTTCTGAGATGGGCTTTTAATGGAATGTGTTGGAATTTTTTCATTCATCAGGCGGTAAGTCAATGTAAACGTGGCTAACAATAATGTTAAAAATCCTATTTTTTTCCCCAAAATGTGCTCAGAGGAGATTTTACCATTGCTTTCTCTTGGTCTGAAAGACAGTGCGACTTACTTATGTTTATCCAGTGGATTTCCATGTCTGTATGGAGAGCCAAAGGTCTATCTCTCATAGTTCTTGTTGTACACTTAAATGCATATATGGCCTACTCATGGTGTTATTGTGATAAACTGGATAAGAGAATGATGATAATAATAGTAATGCTTTATTTGTACCCCACCACCATCTCCCATGGGGACTCGAAGTGGCTTACAAAATAGTTCACAAAGATGCCATACATAAAATTCATAATACATAAAAATACATAAACCTGAAAACAATAATAACATTGGGTTGTTGTAGGTTTTTTCGAGCTATATGGCTATGTTCTAGAAGCATTCTCTCCCGATGTTTCGGCTGCATCTATGAACCTCACTACCTCTGAGGATGCTTGCCATAGATGCAGGCGAAACATCAGGAGAGAATGCCTCTAGAACATGGCCATATAGCCCGAAAAAACCTACAATAACCCAGTGATTCTGGCCATGAAAGCCTTCAACAAAACAATAATAACATTACGTAAACCAAGTATATAAATTGGATAAAACAACCTCTATTAAAGATCCACATAATCAATATAGCAGACTGGCCGAATGCACGTAGAATGTAAATGTAAAGTAATTGGCAATCAGTTCTGGTTACTGTCTAGACATTATCAAAGGCCTGCTGAAAAAAACAACAAGTTTTTAACTCTTTCCTAAAGTGTTGTAGTGTAGGGGCTTGTCTAAGTTCCCTGGGGAGGGCGTTCCAGAGCCAGGGGGCCACTACTGAGAAGGCCCTACCCTCGTTCGCACACACTAGAGACCGGAAACTTGTTGGCAGCTAATTGAGCTGCTTCAGTAGGGGAATTGAATGCTCTCTATAGTTAGCTCCAGTTAGTAATCTGGCTGCCAATCTTTGTACCAGTTGCATTACAGTAATCCATTCTAGATGTAATGGGCCAGGTGGCCAAATATGTATCTGATCTTAGCGCCCTTTCATACTACACAATTATAAGAATGTCATTCCACTGTGGCTGCATCCAATGAAATCCTGGGATTTGTAGTTTGATGAGTCACTAAACCTAATTAGTAGTGAATTCCAAGAGCCCCCCTTAAATTACATATCCCATCAATATTTGGAAAAAAATCCCACATATTCAAAATAAGAGCTAGGCAAAATGAAAAACAACATGTACACTACTTGGTATCAGTTTATTGTATATGTAGGAATAAAAACAACTCCAAGGAGTTCACAGAAAGATCATCTGACGTTCTGGAAAATTTCACTTTGATTCATAATTGAATTCTTTGTGTGGAGCCATATTACTATATAAAGCAGAAGGGATCTGTAACGGAAACAAAAATGAAAATATATTGAAACTGTTTGGCCTGTGACTGCAACACTGAACTCACTGGAGGAAAGGGAAAATATATATGCTAACAAATTAAAAGAAACACTGACTTGAAGGACAGATGTTGGACTTCAAGAGGTAGACCTAGCATAATACTATATTGGTTTGAGTGTTGCACTATAGCTTTGGAGACTATGATTCAAATCCCTGCTCAACCATGGAAAACCACCGAGTCACCTTGGAAAAGAGAGGAAGGCAAAGGCAAACCTCCTCTGAGAAAATATTGCCAAGAAAACCCCATTATAGATTGGCTTAAGGATTCCAAGAGTACACTGGGAGGAACAGGCCTTAAACAGAAGACAATGGAGAGAAGTTAATAGTTTCTGGAAGTTGACCTCTACAACAGGCTGGTAGAATTAGACATTAGGAGCCAAACCACTAGCCTCATGGAATCAGTAGGATTTACTCAAGTATCCAACCCAGAAATGGTTCAAAGGGTGAAAATGTGTCTTGGAGAAGGTCATTTGCTCAATGGTCTTGGATGGCCGAAGGAGGATTACCACTTTTGTCTCAAAGTCCCATCTCAAAACACTACACTAGCTGGGTTGCTATGGGTTTTCTGGGTTGTGTGCCAATGTTTCAGAAGCATTCTCTCCTGAAGTTTCACCCATATATACGGCAGGCATCCTCAGAGGGTGAGGTCTGTTTCTATTTATATATCTGTGGAATGTCCAGGGTGGGAGAAAAACTCTTGTCTGCTTGAGGCAAGTGTGAATGTTGCAATTGGCCACCTTGATTAGCATTTAATGTCCTTGCTGCTTCAAAGCCTAGCTGGTTGCTGCCTGGGGGAATCCTTTGTTGGGAGGTGTTAGCTGGCTCTGATTTGTTGTCAATGGCTTTCATGGCCAGAATTACTGGGTTGCTCCCAGTTGGGACGTGTTAGCTGGCCTTGATTGATTCTTGTCTGGAAATCCCTTACACTAGCTCTTCTCTAGATCTCATTGGCATAAATGTAAGGGAACCCATGGGCTTTACCCAACCTTGCCAAATGTGAAGTCAACATCTAGGTAAAGCCCATGGGTTCCCTTACATTTATGCCAATGAGATCTAGAGGTCTGAGGTTCACTCACTGGATGAACTTGAGCAAATCCTACACTCTCAGCCTCAGAAGAAGGCAATGACAAACCTCACCTGAGCAAATCTTACCAAGAAAACTCTGATAGGTTTGCCATAAATTGGGAGACTTGAAGACCCACAACAACAACAGAAAGATTTCCAATGGATTGCTGGAACACTATCAAACACTAACCAGGGAAAGAAAAATTAAAGGGAGGGGGAATTCATGGACAAAACAAAAGATATTTAGAAAGCACACTTTCCCATCTCCCACTATTGGCTCCCTGGCTTGAAGCATTGGCAGAGAAAAGGCCGTAAATATCTAGAAGTCACTGGTAGGTGTTGTTAATAATTCACAGCTGGGCTGGAAGGGAAGAAGAGGAAAAGGAGGAGGAGAGGAGATTTAGGAGGGTCTAGATTTAGGAGGGGTCGTGGTCCAGGTGAGTTCCTCTTTAGCAATCCCGGGACAGACAGCACGGCGCCCTTGAGACTCCTTGCTCCTAATCCAGGCCCTGTTTGATTTGTAAACCTTTTGCCCCGGAGGAACCAAGGTAGGCTTTTTGCAATAAGTTTGTGCCTTCAGAAAGTAAAGACACACAGTCTAAAGCATAAAGATGCCCAGGGAGCCAACTACACTGTAGAATTAATGCAGCTCAGCCCCACATTAATTGCCATGGCTCTATGGTATAGAATCATGGGATTTGTTGTTTGGTGAGGCACTAGGGGTACAAACCTTGTACAACTACAACTCCCACGATCCCATAGGATTGAGCCATGGCAGTTAAAGTGGGCTCAAGCTTAATTCATTCTGGAGTTAGATGTACCCTATGGCATTATATCAGTTCCATGGCATATCAGTGACTACTAGCTAAAGTAATCATTGGTGTAGGTTGTTGGGAGTTGCAATCTAACCACTTCTGGAGGGGCCCATACATCCCATCCCTGCTCTCCATGCTCTGAAGGGCTGAGATGATATCTCCAAGAAACAGCACAAGGAAGAAAATAAACAATTTATGTTGTGTGGCTTTGAGTTGTTTCAGAGTTCTGTGATCTAAGGGGAACCTATCATGAGGTATTCTTGGCAAAATTGGTCCAGGAGAGGTTTGCCATTGGTTCCCTCTGAGGCTGAGAGAGTGTGACTTGTTCAAGCTTGCCAATTGTAGAATGAATGTAGCTTGACACAATTTTAGAGCTACAGTTTTACAAGATGCACTCGAAACCAGCAGGTTTTCTCCCTCAGTCCATAGGACTGAAGTAAAAACAATGCAGCCATCCACATCTATGGCAGGCAACCTCAGAGGTTGTGAGGTCTGTTGGAAATTAGGCAAGTGAGGTTTATATGTCTGTGGAATGTCCAAGTGGGAGAAAGAACTCTTGTCTTTTGGAGGCAGGTATGAATGTTACAATTGGCCACCATGATTAGCATTGAATAGCCTATAGCTTCAAAGCCTGGCTGCTTTGTTGAGAGGTGTTACCTGGCCTTGATTAATTCTTGTCTGGAATTCTCCTGTTTTCTGGGTGTTGTTCTTTATGTACTGTCCTGATTTAGGAGTTTTTAAATATTGGTAGCCAGATTTTGTTCATTTTCATGGTTTCCTCCATTCTATGGAAATGGTCCACATGCTTGTGGATTTCAATTGCTTCTCTGTGTAGTCTGGCATGATGGTTGGTAGAGTGGTCCAGCATTTCTGTGTTCTCAAATAATATGCTGTGTCCAGGTTGGTTTATCGGGTGCTCTGCTATGGCTGACTTCTCTGGTTGAATAGTCTGCAGTGCCTTTCATGTTCCTTGATTTATGTTTGGGCAATGTTGCGTTTGGTGGTCCTATGTAGACTTGTCCACAGCTGCATGGTATAAGGTAAATTTCTGCAGAGGTGAGAGGATACCTCTTGTCCTTTGCTGAACATGGCATTTGTTGGATTTCCTTAGTGGGGTTGTAGATAGTTTGTAGGTTGTGTTTCATCAGCCTCCCTATGTGGTCAGTGGTTCCCTTGATGTATGGTAAGAACACTTTTCTTCTGGATGGAAACAACCATTGATTTGTGTCTGGACATTGCTGCCTTTGGTGGTAGACTCCTGCAGAGGTGAGAGGATCCATCTGCTATATAGATGTGGGTGAAATGTCAGGAGAGAATGCTTCTGGAACATGGCCATACAGCTCTAAAAACTCACAGCATGAAAGCTGCCATTGTATCCCCACTTCTTATAGGACATTGCAACAGCCTTTCTTTTTTTAATCTACTGGGGAGATAAGTGAAAAGAGAGTTTCAAAACAAACTGGAAACAATAATGGATAGGACTGCTCTCATTATTCATTCCTGGAAGGCAAATGACTTGAGAGATCTCCTCTGCTCTCCTGGTATATCATACTTGAAAAAAGGAGACCAATGCAAGACAAGGTGCCAAATACAAGCCCACAGATTTTGTTTTTCTTTCCCTAACAAAAAGACAGGCGGATTGATAGATGGCACAAACAAAGTGCGAGTCTGCTGACACTGACATTTTGCAAATCCACTGTATTCATTCAATTAAGAGGCAAAGGGATTGAAGTACCAAATTAGAAGGAAGTTTGGACCAGGAGCCCCTTGGGGGGCAGTGGGTTAAAGTGCTGAACTTGCTGACCGAAAGGTCACAGGTTCGAATGGCTCCGTGCAGTCATGTCGGCCACATGACCTTGGAGGTGTCTATGGACAACACCGGCTCTGGCTCTTCCGCTTAGAAATGGAGATGAGCACCAACCCTCAGAGTTCAGAGTCGGACATGTCTAGGCTTAATGACAGGGGAAAACCTTTACCTTTTTTACCTTAGACCAGGGCCTGGAGACAACTCCTAATCCGAAACAAATGTGGAAGAGCGCCCTTATCTGTCTCTCTGCCTGCCTGGTTGTTAAGCTGCTTGATAGCAAGTGATGATGGATTTGATTTAAACAATGAATGCCAAATTAATACACAATTCCTGAGACTCACCACAATAACTTGCGGATATTAGATATCGGTTTTGCGTATCTAATTGTTGGTCTCCTAGAGTGTATCTACAGTGCAGAATTAATGTAGTTTGACACTACTTTAATTTCTATAGCTCAATGCTATGGAATTATGGGAACCAGACTTACACTATCTAAAACGCACACCTAAAACACTAGGTTTCCTGCTTACAATTTATGGAAATTAGCCTTCGGGATACACATAAAGCTTCTTCTTCTCCTCCTCCTCCTCCTCCTCCTCCTCCTCCTCCTCCTCCTCCTCCTCCTCCTTCTCCTTCTCCCTCCTCCTCTCTCCTTTTCTCCTCTTCTTCTTCTCCTCTTCTCCTTCTACCTGTTCTTCCTGTTCTTCTTCTCCTCCTTCTCCTCCTCCTCCTCTTCTTCCTCTTCTCTTCTTCTTCTTCTTCCTCCTCTTCTCCTTCTTCCTTTCTTCCTTCTTCCTCCTTTCCTTCCTTCTTCCTCTTCTTCTTCCTCCTTCTTCTCTTCTTCCTCTTCTTCTCCTCCTTCTTTCTCCTCCTTCTTCCTTTCTTCCTCTTCTCCTTTCTTCCTCCTCCTCTTCTCCTCTTCCTTTTCTTTCTGTTCTTCCTCTTCCTCTTCTCCTTCTTCCTCTCCTCTCCTCTTCTCCTTCTCCTGTTCTTTCTGTTCTTCCTTTCCTCTTCTCCTTCTTCCTCTTCCTCTTCTCCTTCTTCCTGTTCTTTCTGTTCTTCCTCTTCCTCTTCTCCTTCTTCTCTTCCTCTCCTCCTCCTTCTTCTCCTTCACCTTTCTTCCTTTCTTCTTTTCCTCCTTCTCCTCCTCCCTCTTCCTCTTCTTCCTTCTTCCTTCTTCTTCCTCTTCCTCCTCCTCCTCCTCTTCCCTTCTTCCTTCTTCCTGTTCTTCCTCCTCTTCCTATTATTAATGTCACCGAATTCATGACATTACATTTTCTTTTTAAATGCACTTTTCTACCTTCATAATAAACAATGGTGGCCTCGGATGGAGGAAGAAAAATACACAGAAGTTTTCAAAAGGTGGCTTTGAGAAAAACAACCCCCACCAAGCCATGTCACATATTTGTATTTTGGATGTATTTTCTATCCTTAAGGTTCTGTTTGAGTACTGAACGCAGAAGTGGGTCCCTCCTCTTGGGAAATCCATCCACATTTAGACATTTAGACACGGACAGGCAAATCTGAACAATGTGTAGCCCACCCGGTGGTCCCATATATATTCAAGCCCCAATGTCGTATAGTTGATTGAGTATTGGACTCCGGAGACCAGGGTTGACGTCTTGGCTTTGCCCTGAAAACCCACAGGCTGGCTTTGGGCAAGTCACTCTCTCTCAGCCTCAGGAACTGACTGGTCTGCTTTAGAGTCCCCATAAATAAATAAGTCGGAAAGGGCTCCAAGGAACACAACAAGCCTACACAAAACTCGGGAGAATAATAATAATAATAATAATAATAATAATAATAATAATAATAATAATAATAATAATAATAATAAAAACTTTATTTATATCCCATTGAACTCAGGGGACTATACTTCTGATTAGAAGAATAAAATAGATCGTAATAAGCTAGCTTTAAAAACAAAGGTGGTGGAGAGAAAACCAAACGCAAGTTTTACTCCAGGCTTCCTATTAAATGCGAGAGGGGTTGCTTGCTTTCGACTAGGAGGAAACTGAGTCCATGTATTGTCGAAGGCTTTCATGGTTGAAATCACTGGGTTGTTGTAGTTTTTTTCGGGCTATAAGGCCATATAGAGAATGCCTCTAGATTGAACATGGCCACATAGCCCGAAAAAACCTACAACAACCCAACTGAGTCCATGTTATTTGAGGCTGGAGCGCCACTGTCAAATAATGCAGTTCAAACCTGCATATGTTCAGTGTAGAGCAGGTATGGGCCAATTTCGGCCCTCCAGATGGTTTAGACTTCAACTCCCACCATTCCTAACAGCCTTGGGACCTTTCCTTTCCCCCCTGTGGACTCATCTTGTTGTGCTTCAAATAATAATAATAATAATAATAATAATAATAATAATCATTTACTTACTATATTTGTATACCGCCCTTCTCAGCCCTCAGGCGACTAATAATAATAATAATAATAATAATAATAATAATAATAATAATAATAATGGGTTGTTGTAGGTTTTTTCGGGCTATATGGCCATGTTCTAGAGGCATTCTCTCCTGACGTTTCGTCTCCTGACGTTTCTCACTACCTCTGAGGATACTTGCCATAGATGCAGGCGAAACGTCAGGAGAGAATGCCTCTAGACATGGCCATATAGCCCGAAAAAAACCTACAACAACCCAGTGATTCCGGCCATGAAAGCCTTCGACAATAATAATAATAAAAATAATAATAATAATAATAATAATAATAAAAAATCCAAAGACTAGAGTCTTGGGAAGTGTTCGACTTGTTACTTTCTCTGGTTCTGTACAGTCTGATTGTTGTTTGATGTTGTCTAAAATTATTGTGTTAAATAATAATAATAATAATAATAATAATAATAATAATAATAATAATAATAATAATGGGTTGTTGTAGGTTTTTTTCGGGCTATATGGCCATGTTCTAGAGGCATTTTCTCCTGACGTTTCGCCTGCATCTATGGCAAGCATCCTCAGAGGTAGTGAGGTCTGTTGGAACTAATCAGAGATGCAGGCGAAACGTCAGGAGAAAAATTGCCTCCAGAACATGGCCATATAGCCCGGAAAAACCTACAACAACCCAGTGATCCCGGCCATGAAAGCCTTCGACAATACAATAATAATAATAATAATAATAATAATTTGTTGTAGGTTTCTTCGGGCTATATGGCTATGTTCCAGAAGCATTCTCTCCTGACGTTTCGCCTGCATCTATGGCAGGCATCCTCAGAGGTTGTGAGGTTTGAGGATGCATGTCATAGATGCAGGAGAAAGCCTTCGACAATGCTGCTACTACTACTACTACTACTACTAATAATAATAATAATAATAATAATAATAATAATACTAATAATAATGTGTTATCTTTGCCAAATAAGTGTCTGGCTAAAGAAGACAGCCGAGTTTTTGGTTTTTTTTTACATGACTCCACAATAAGGAATAGGAAGAATGAGCCGGTTTCACATTTACTAAAAGTAAGGTTTGCAAAATCTGGCAATGAAGGCAAAAAGAACAAGCTTGCCGCCTTCTTAACGGGAAGGCTTCTCTCTCTCAGAGACCATAAATACTAATCGTCCTGGGAGAAAGTATAGCAAAATTCCCTTCTGAATTACACTTTCCAAGGAAACTATCCGGTCTTTGTGGACTTTCAAGGGAAGAGACCCGAAAGAAAGCCTTGCGAGCGCAGGGAGTGAAGCTACACTGCTTGACTTCACTTCGACTGAGAGGGCTCAGTCCTATGGAAGCAGGGAAGCTGCGGTTAGAAAGAATTCCAAACATTGGGTTGTTGTGAGTTTATAAACCTCATTTCCCGGTTGGCGCGATGGGTTAAACCCTTGTGCCTACAGAACTGAAGACCGACAGGTAAGAGGTTCGAATCCGGGGAGAGCGCGGATGAGCTCCTTCTGTCAGCTCCAGCTCCCCATGCGGGGACACGAGAGAAGCCTCCCACAAGGATGGTAAAACATCAGAACATCCGGGGGTCGGGCAACGTCCTTGTAGACGGCCAATTCTCTCACACCAGAAGCACTTGCAGTTTCTCAAGTCGCTCCTGACACGACAAAAAAAAAAGTTGCAGTGACCCCCAACCATCAAATGATTTTCGTTGTTATGCCATAGATGTGGGCCAAATGCTTCTGGAACATGGCCATACAGCCCAGAAAACTCACAGCAACCCATTATTATTATTATTATTATTATTATTATTATTATTATTATTATTATTTAGTAAAGAACATAGAATCATACTGGATTGCTGCGAGTTTTCCGGGCAGTACAAACCCTGTACAAACCTCCCTTGCCTACTTTCCAACAGACCTCACAACCTCTGAGGATGCTTGCCATAGATGCGGCGAAACGTCAGGAGATAATGCTTCTGGAACATGGCCATACAACCCGGAAAACTCACAGCAATCCTTTATTCCTTCTCCCACCCTGGACATTTCAGAGATTTATAAACCCCACTTGCCTAGTTTCCAACAGACCTCACAACCTGAGGATGCCTGCCATAGATGGGCAAAACGTCAGGAGAGAATGCTTCTGGAACATGGCCATACAGCCCAAAAAACTCACAGCAACCCATTATTATTATTAGAATCATACTAGATTGCTGTGAGTTTTCTGGGCTGTACAGACCTCCCTTGTCTAGTTTCCAACAGACCTCACAACCTTTGAGGATGCCTGCCATAGATGGAGGCGAAACGTCAGGAGAGAATGCTTCTGGAACATGGCCATACAGCCCGGAAATACAACCCATGAAAGCCTTCGACTATAAATTCGAAACATCTCAGAAAATGACAAATGCCACTATTCCATCGCACTGAGCCAAGAGGAATAAAGCGGTATGAAACCGATATACACGTGCAGTGTGGACACACTTTCAGTCTGTTGTCAATTAGGAAGGAGAGCATTATAATCCTGCGTTGGAAGGGAAAAAAACCCAACTGGGAGGATTTTAAAACGAGAATAATAAATATGCAGCCAGTTAACAACAATAACAACAATGTCCAGAAACCCAACTTTAATTTAAAACCCTTTAATACACACACATATATAATTTACCTTTCCCTTTCTCAATCTGTTGCTGCTGCAGAGTCTTTATTTCGGCTCTCAAGGTCCGGATTGCAGGTGAAATCGGCAAATGAGAAGCGAACTAGTGGTAGAAATGGAGAGAAAACCTTCTCTCTCTCAGGCACATCTGGCTGGGAAAAGGAGATAATAATAATAATGGGGAGGAGGACGGTAAGGAGCAGGAAAGGCAAACCGAAAGGATCCTGGGTATCCTTACAGACTTTCTCACCCGTTTTGAATGGGTCGCAATCCTCCCCGAATTCCCATTTCAGTCTCATAACCAGATCTCAAATTTGTACTCTCATTTGAAGAAATTGATTGTCAACTCCAGCTCAAAGATACTGGTTAAAAATCTATTGTGTTTCTGCTTTGGGTCCTTTTTTTCTTTTTTCCCCGAGGAGAAAGAACAGGCACAAAAACGCAAAACGAAGAGAAACTTCGGCTGGAAGGACAGGCGGAGACGCGAGGCTCCGGCAAAGGGGAGAAATCCCTTCCTGGAAGGGTTTTGAGAAGAGACACGCTTTGATTTTGCACGTGTGAATGCGCTCCCTCCTGTGAATTTTTGCATGCTAATCTATGGTCAAAGCCCAAGAGCATATACACCAGGCCTGGGCAAACTTGGGCCCTCCCTCCAGGTGTTTTGGACTTCAACTCCCACAATTCCTAACAACCGGTAGGCTGTTAGGAATTGTGGGAGTTGAAGTCCAAAACACCTGGAGGGAGGGCCCAAGTTTGCCCAGGCCTGATCTAACCTGTAGAATTAATTCAGCTGGACCCAATTATAATTTGCTATGACTCACTGCTATTGAATCTGGGATTTGCCAGAGAAAGCTAAAGGTTCTTGTGGGTTTTTTCGGGCTATAGGGCCATGTTCTAGAGGCATTTCTCCTGACGTTTCGCCTGCATCTATGGCAAGCATCCTCAGAGGTAGTGAGGATACTTGCCATAGATGCAGGTGAAACGTCAGGAGAAATGCCTCTAGAACATGGCCCTATAGCCCGAAAAAACCCACAAGAACCTAGTGATTCCAGCCATGAAAGCCTTCGACAACACAGATATGCATTTTCTAAAACTACAACTCTCAGGATTCCATAACATTGAGCCATGGATGTTCAGGTAGTGTGTCAAGCTGCATCCATTCATACATGCAGCCCATGACTCTGCTGATGAGGGTTTGATTCTTTCCCACATTGATGTTGGGTGGGTCACACACTTTCAGCCTCAAGAAAAGCCCAGTGTATGGGCATAACTCCGAAAAGACTTGAAGGCACACAAGAGCAAAGCGTGGACAGGATTCCACATCCAAGTAGATAACTCAAGCGGATTTCAATCTGGGTTGTTGTAGGTTTTTTCGGGCTATATGGCCATGTTCTAGAGGCATTCTCTCCTGACGTTTCACCTGCATCTATGGCAAGCATCCTCAGAGGTAGTGAGGTGAGGATTTCACTCTGTTTACCTCAATGAAGTTAATTAATTTTGTACTGGGATGTGAGAAACCTGTGCTACGAAATGCCTGGTGAAAGTGAATGTGTTTATAATATATTTTTTAAAATTAATAAATGTAAGGTGGGAGAAAGGGTAATAATAATAATAATAATAATAATAATAATAATAATAATAATAATGGATTGCTATGAGTTTTCCGGGCTGTATGGCCCTTTTCCAGAAGCATTCTCTCCTGACCTTTCACCCACATCTATGGCAGACATCCTCAGAGGTTGTGAAGTCTGTTGGAAACTAGGCAAGTGAGGTTTATACAGCCCGGAAAACTCACAGCAACCCAGTGATTCAGGCCATGAAAGCCTTTTGACAACACAATAAATAATAATAATAATAATACTAGTAATAATTGAGAGCAGTACATTTGAAAAAGATGTTGGAGTCCTTGTGGACAACAAGTTAAACATGAGCCAACAATGTGATGTGGCGGCAAAAAAAGCCAATGGGATTTTGGCCTGCATCAATAAGAGCATAGTGTCTAGATCTAGGGAAGTAATGCTACCCCTCTATTTCGCTTTGGTTAGACCACACCTGGAATATTGTGTCCAATTTTGGGCACCACAATTGAAGAGAGATATTGACAAGCTGGATGTGTCCAGAAGAGGGCGACTAAAATTATCAAGGGAACTGGAGAACAAGCCCTATGAGGAGTGGCTTAAAGAGCTGGGCATGTTTAGCCTGAAGAAGAGAAGGCTGAGAGGAGATGTATAAATATGTGAGAGGAAGTTACAGGGAAGAGGGAGCAAGCTTATTTTTTGCTTCTCTGGAGACTAGGACGCGGAACAATGGCTTCAAACTACAAGAAAGAAGATTCCATATGAACATTAGGAAGAACTTCCTGACTGTGAGAGCCGTTCAGCAGTGGAACTCTCTGCTCCTGAGTGTGGTGGAGGCTCCCCTTTGGAAGCTTTTAAACAGAGGCTGGATGGCCATCTGTCTGATTTGAATGCAATATTCCTGCTTCTTGGCAGGGGGTTGGACTGGATGGCCCATGAGGTCTCTTCCCACTCTGTGATTCTATGATTCTATGACTAGTGGCCAGGGCCAATATCCAAGACTAATCATATCCATGATACTCATGATAAAATCCCCCACCTCTCCCTTTGGATTGGGAAGGGAAGAATGATTTGGAGGGAGGCATGTTGAGACAACTCTTCTATCCCTAACTGGGTTGTGAAAAGGCCTCCTTCTGCTTCATTCTGGATTTAAGGATTTTGAAGTGTGTATATGTGCCTTCAAATCACCTGTCAATCTATGGCTATCCCATGAATCCCATAGAATTGTTTTTGAAGGCAAGGAATAGAGGAGGTAGTCTATGTAAATCCATAGCATTTGTTTCTATGCCCTCATTGACTGTATCAGGATTCGAATTCTCCATAAACATCTTTGAATATGAAGGAACTGGGAAAATCATCTCTTGACTCTCTTAATTATAATCCTCTAATAGAAATCCCTGGGCCTAAATATCATGAAGGCTTCTCATTCTGTCTTCTCTTGGAAGCTAAGCAGGGTCAGCCCTTGTTAACATGTGTGTGAGAGACTGTCAGTGAATCTTGGGTATTTGAGGATGGCCTTCCAAAAGAATGACCTTCCCCAAGTCTAGAGACAGACTTCCAATGAAGACCAGAGATCGTAGACTGTATGCCAGAGGAAGAAGACACTTGCAAACCAGTTCCAAGTATTCCTTGTCTGAGAAAAATAGGAATAACTCATGGGATCACCAGAAGGGAACAGGCAATTTGAAGGCACACAGACATACTGTAAACTGTAAACTTTTGGCTAAGTTGCACTCCATATGTATCATTTTGATAGTTTGGTATCTGGATTGCCAAATAATTCACCAGCAAGATGTAAGTGATTTATGATGTGTTGTTTAACAGTGTCTTTAAAAATCCATTTGAAGAAGATTTTGTCCTCTCGGGTGCTATTCATCTGGAAGATTGGACTCTGTTTTGATTTAATTAGGAAAAAGGAACTGGTAGTTCAGGAGCCGAGTTCAGCCTGGTTTGGAAAAGCCTCATCCAATCTTCCACAAAATTACAGAAATCAAAATGCTTAATCAAGTTGTAAATACAGTAGTTTGGAATACACCAGGACAACATAATTTCAAATATAAGTGTAAACAATAAGCCATTGAAATACACAAGCATGTGGACAATTTCAACAGAAAGGAGGAAACCATGAAAATTAACAAAATCTGAATAAAAATGAACAACCAGTATTAAAAAACTATAAAATTACAACAGCATAACAACAGACAGGAAGCAGGCAGGGACATCTAATTACCTCTCAACAAAAGTTTGCCCCAGGCACAGTCAGGCCATTGTATGCTAATCAAGGTGGTCAGTTGAAACATTCACACCTAGCTCCAGCAGAGAAGAGTCCTTTGTCTCACCTGGTCATTCCACAGATATATAAACCCTTTTCCTAGTTCCAACAGACCTCACTACCTCTGAGGATGCTTGCCATAGATGCAGGCGAAATGTCAGGAGAGAATGCCTCTAGACCATGGCCCTATAGCCCTAAAAAACCCACAAAAACCTAGTGATTCCAGCCATGAAAGCCTTCGACAATACAAAGCACTATGATTTTGCAGTATGAAAGGATAATCTGTCACTTTTAACAAACCAATACTCCAAAGTAGCAATCAGATCCAACTATGTGATTTTGCAACTCATTACATTCATTTGTCATTCATGCAGAGGTGTGTGGTTCTTTGCCTCCTGGCACTGGCTTCTCTCCCGGCTCCACATTCTTTGGGTGGGATGAGGCTGATGTTTTAGTTTTCCCAAATCCCTCTAAAGGTGTATAATGCAAACACACTTCAGCATTATGTTTTTTGAAGTAATTTTTATGCAAAGAAGAGACAAAATGAAACACACAAACAAACCTTACAGATATATAATTACCAAAATCAGACAGCAACACATTATTCTCTACAACTAAGAGACTGTTAGGAAACAAAACAGAAAAGGAAGATAGATAATACTCACACACACAAAATCGAAGAACTACAGACTTCTCACTCTCTATCTGATGTTTACCATCCTTTAACTGATAATGTATCACACTTTTATTATAGGCAACACTCTATTTCATGAACCCCACAGTTGATAAATGTCTCTTTAGTACTGTTATCTTACCATAGTGTTAGGATTGTATCTCTCTATGTATCAAGAGGCTGGACTGACAGTAGCATTACTACTGGTTGTTGCTTGTTATTAGGTGGCTTCAAGTGGACTCCTATCAAAGGATTTATTCAGATGTCCCTTGCAATTGCCTTTCTGTAAGGCCTAGAGTGTGACTTGCTCAAGGACAACCAAAAGGTTTCCATGACTGAGAGTAGATTTTAACTAAAGTTGATATAATAATAATAATAATAATAATAATAGTATTTATATCTCTCTTTATCTCTCCAAAGGGGACTCATAGCCGTCTCTTATCTAAGGGTCAGAAAGCTAATCCCTTGTAGGATAGGCAGGTGCCCCTATCATAAGAGATGTCTCCTTTTTTAAGCGTTGGTAAGCTTGTCCTTTCATATAGAGGGAACAGGACACAACTCCTCTCATATATTTGGATGTGAGCCCTTCATAAGGACAAAAATGTGACCATTGTATAATGTATGAACGTTGGAGTATGTGTTCATTTCTCTGAAAACATAGAGCCAAGTTAATAGGAAGCAATACTATCATTTGGTATTTAGATAGACCACAAACTTCAGCCAGTTTGGTATTATGGTTTGAGACCAGGGTCCTATTCATCACTTGGCAATTGATTTTCATAGGGTGACTTTGAGCAAGTCCCACACTCT